AATGCAAGGACATTTTATGTATTTTCTCTCCTCTCTTTTCTCTCCCCTGACCTCCATCCTCCCTTGAATGGGCACCTATATATATATATATATAGAGTTTGTTTCAAATACAACCTATTGCATTTGTACAACCAATGCAACCCAATAAATTGATATATTTATGGAAATGATGAGAGTTCATTTATTATGATTTGAATATTTATAGAAGATGAATATGATTCATTAATTATGATCAAAACTTTATATTAGGAAACAATCAAAACTTTTATGAAATCACATATTAATCAAATGAAATGGACGGTTGAGATTGGGTTGTATTGGTTGCACAAATGTCAGGAGTTGTACAATAACAAACCTTTCTCTCTCTCTCTCTCTCTATATATATATATATATATATATATATATATATATATAAGAGAAGGCAATGTATAGAGGATTAAAAAGAGGTCATTCTACGTATTTATCCTTTTTTCTTCTATTTATGATCAATTTTTAAATGTTCTCGTCACATTAAATGCAAAACCTTTTATTCAAATCAAAATCGTCATTAGTATAATTGTAAATCTAATTTTATTTACCTTATTTATTGTCTTATTTTGATAACAATTAATAAAATTAAAGCTTATTACTTATATCTATATCTATATAAGTATATCCAATTAATCAATGTATATCTAGTTCCAATTAATCAAAAATAAAAATAAAAAAATAAAGAGGAGATGGAGAGTCAGCGACTGAGAAGACCAAAAGACAGTCACCGGAGAAGGAACTACGGCGAAGCACAGAAGAAAGTCGAGTTGGCGAATCGAGGAGAAGGAACTACGGCAAAGCACAAAAGAAAGTTGAGTCGGCGAATCGAGGTTTGGGTTTCAAAGTAGAAGAATCGCTTCACAAGTATGCAACCAGTTTCTATGTTACAAATTTTCCAGAAGCTTTGGAGGAGAAGTTTCTTTGGGGCAAGATGAAGGAACTGGGAAAGGTGGTTGACGTTTTTATTGCAAGGAAGAGGGATGCGAGGGGATTGAGATTTGGTTTTGTTAGGTTCCTGGGTATTAAAGATGTCAAGCAAATGGAAAAAGCTTTATGTGAGGTTTCCTTTGGTTTGTTAAAGCTAAGGGCAAATGTGGCTAAGTATGTTAGGAAAGCCACGAGGGAGGTGAAGGGCATGGCACAGGATAAGAGTTTTGCTCAAAAGATGGAGGCCGAGACTTCAGTGAGGAAGAAACAGCAGGTATTTAGATGTACCGGTTCGTATGCAGATGCTGTCAAGTATGGATTTGGCAAAGAGGCGGTTAAAACCCGGGGGTACAAGAGTCTTCCTCTCAAGCTTTCTTCTTCGAAAGAAATGAAAGGTAAGTTGAAATCGTCTCTTATTGGGAAGTTTCGTAGCTTTGATGCGTTATGTAATTTCCAAAAATTTGGGGAAGTTTCAAATTCTGTGGAGTTGTTGGTTAGATATCTGGGAGGTTTGTATGCTCATGTTTGCTTAGAGAGTTATGCTGATGCTCAAATTTTTTTGTTCAATGACAATAGTATTTGGAGTGACTAGTTTAGCAAAATAGATTTTTGGAATGATAAGTTTGTGGTCAAGGAAAGGATAGCCTTTGTCACTATTCATGGTGTGCCGATCCAAGCTTGGACCCCTAGTGTGTTTGCTGAAACTGCTGGTAGATGGGGAGAAGTTATAATTCCTGAAAATTGTTCGGCGGATAGCAGGAATCGGGAATTTGGGAAAGTCGATATTCTTATTGGTGAGGAAAAATGGATTATGGATTCTCTTGAGATCATTGTTGACGAGATTCATGTTCAAGTTCGTGTGGCTGAAGATATTACAGAGGGCATGTCCTTAGGTTCCTTTTTCGAGGATGCTAATGGAGATTCAGAATCGGATTCGTTCTGTCGTTCAGATAATTTATTTGATGACGGTTTTCTTTCTACATCTCCGGGTCAGTCCGATTTTTCACAGTCTCGGCAGGCAAAGGAGGATGAAGCGGAACAGTCGAGTCTTGGTTGTCGGAATGGCTCCTCGGACGGAAATAAAAACAGGGAATCCATTTCATCTAGCCATGGTCTGCATGGGGATCTAATTGTTGAGGCGGGTGGATTTAATTCTCGTGAGGTTGACATCTGTGAGGGCCTTGGATCGGTTAAAGAAGTGGATAATAATAGTGGGCCGATGGTGAATAATTTTAATTCCCCGGGGCTTCAAGATAGGCCTGTTTCTCAGGATGGTTCTTGTGGATCTGTGCCTTCTAGGGATCTCGGGATTGAGGAATTAGATCTCAATGCCTCTCCGAAGTGTTTCGGCTTTACATATGAGGTGGTTGGCCAGAGAGAGGAAGTGAATGCTCCGGTTGGAAATATAGGGGGACCTGATTCCTCCTTGGATGATTATGAGTATGAATTTGAAGATAGCCAAGCTTGGTCGATTGTCTCAAGGAAAAAGGATTTGCGTCTGAAACGTCGAAGAAAGTGCGGAGCTAGATCTAAAAAGGTTCCGGAGGTCGAGGAGCCCAATACTGAGGTAGCAGGTCTAGACAGGGTGGTAGAGGAGGTTCCGTATGTTGATATGGATTCCGAGGTTCCCAATTTAGAAGTCGATGAAACTATTCGGGTTGGTTGTATGGTTGGTTTTGAGTTGGAAGGGAAAGAAGATTTGGTTAGAGACTCTTTGCAAGTTGATGGAGACATTGGTTGTTTATGTTAAAAATTCTTTCGCTTAATGTCAATGGTCTTGGGGGAGGCGTCAAAAGGAATTGGGTGAAGGAGCTCAAGCAGGATAATAGAGTGAACTTTCTCTGTATCCAGGAGTCTAGAATCTCCTCTTTTCCTAAAGAGTTTTTATGCTCATCGGTGTGGGGGGGTAGGAATGTTGAGATGGCTTCGGTTGATCCGGTTGGTAGGTCTGGTGGTCTGATCTCTTTTTGGGACTCATCTATTTTCATCAAGTTAAACTCTTTCTCGGACAGGAACTTTTTGATTGTTATTGGTTCTTGGCGCCCCAGCGGGGTCACGTTAGGTATCTGTAACGTCTACGCTCCTCAAGATGCTAGTGGTAAAGATCGGTTGTGGTCTACTCTTAAGAATCTTATGGAGTCTATCGTTGTTGATGCTTGGATTTGCTGCGGTAATTTCAATGTTGTTAGATGTCGGGACGAAAGGGTTGGGTCCGAGTTTGATACTGTGAGTGCCTTGGTCTTCAATAATTTTATTTCCGAGATCGGGTTCTTGGATCTTAAAATGGGCGGTCGAAAGTTCACGAGGAAAAGTGTGGAGGCTTTAAATGGAGTAAACTTGATCGTTTCTTGGTATCTCAGAGTTTTCTTTACTTATGGCCTAAGGCTTGTGTGACTGCGCTGCCGTTTTTATATTCGGATCATTGCCCTATTCTGCTAGATGGCTGTGATGTAGACTTTGGGCCGATCCCTTTTAAACTTTTTAATTCTTGGCTTAGTGATCCTGATTTTGTGCAGATGGTGAAAGAGGGCTGGATAAAAAATCCCAATGGTTACTCGGATTCAAACAACATTCGGTTTCTTTTATCCAATTTAAAGCAGCTGAAGGTGAAGATTAAAGCTTGGAGTTCTTCAAGATCGGCCTCATCAAGAGCCGAGAAGGCTTCTCTTATTGCTAAGATCAATGATCTAGATTCGAATGCGGTAGATGGTAATCTGAATGCTGTTGTCGCGCAGACTAGAGTAGATATTATGAAGCGTATTTTGGAGATTGATGAAGCGGTAATTAGTGATCTCAGGCAAAAGGCCAAAGCCAGGTGGACTCTCGAAGGAGATGAAAATTCTCGTTTCTTCCACGGTCTTATTAGATGCAGATTTAGCAAGTTAAATATTCATGGTATCGGTGTAAATAGAAGATGGATTCGAGAACCGTTAGAGCTGAAAAAAGCAGCTTTTGATTTCTTCAAAGAGAAATTTTCGGAAGATAAGGTGTGTAGGCCGTCTTTCAAGAGCAATCATTTCAAAAGAATCTCGCTAAGTCAAAAGGAGACGCTCGAGTTGCCCTTCACTATTGAGGAGGTTAAAATCGCAGTTTGGGGTTGCGGTAATGAGAAAGCGCCGGGGCCTGATGGATATTCTTTTGCTTTCTTTAAAAAGTTTTGGGAGGTCATTGGTGAAGATGTTTTCAAAGTGGTCAAAGCCTTCGAGGCCAACGCAGAAATTGGAAGGGGATGCAATGCTTCTTTCATTACTCTTGTTCCAAAGGTAAAGGACCCTTTGTTGTTTAAAGACTACAGGCCGATTAACCTTATTGGTTGTGTGTGTAAAATTATCTCCAAGTTGCTGGCGAATAGACTAAAAGAGGTGTTGGATTCGATTATCGGGAAGGAGCAGTCGGCTTTTATTAAGGGTCGATGCATTCTGGATGGCCCGCTAATCGTTAACGAGACTATTTCTTGGGCTAGGAAGGCAAAACGAAAAGTGTTAATCTTTAAAGCTGATTTTGAGAAGGCATTTGATAATTTGAACTGGGACTTTTTAGACGAGGTTATGTGGCAAATGGGTTTCTGTAATACTTGGAGAAAGTGGATACGTGGAATTCTTGCTAATGCTAGTGTCTCCATTCTGGTGAATGGAAGCCCTACGGAGGAGTTTATCATGGAAAAAGGTGTGCGACAAGGTGACCCTCTTGCCCCTTTCCTATTTATTATAGCTATGGAGGCTCTTAGGGTGGTTATGTATGAAGCTCGTATTAAAAGAGTTTTTAATGGGTTGTCCCTTCCCAGAGGTGGCCCTAGAATAGAGATTCTACAATATGCTGATGATGCTCTATTTATGGGTGAATGGTCGGTTTCGAATGGCCTAAATCTGATTCGTTTGCTAAGATGCTTTTATCTTTCATCGGGATTGAAAATCAACTTGTAGAAAAGTTGTTTATATGGCATTGGCTCGGGCACCGGTGAAGTTGAGTTGCTTGCTCAAAGAATGAATTGTAAGATTTCTTCTATTCCGTTCCAATATTTGGGTCTTCCAGTAGGAGCGCAAATGGGAAGAAGAAGTAGCTGGAATAAGTTAGTGGATAAATTCCAAGAGAAACTCTCCGCTTGGAAGGCCAAGTCTTTATCGTTTGGTGGTAGGAAGATTCTTTGTAAACCGGTTCTTGGTAGTTTGGGAGTTTATCTTTTCTCTCTGTTTAAAGTCCCGGAAAATGTGCTTAACACCCTTGAAAGCCTTAGGAACCAATTCATTTGGGGCTGGACTGGACAGAGTAGGAAAATTATCTGGGTTAGGTGGAATGTTACTTGTAACTCAATGGTTAAAGGTGGTATTGGTATCGGTAGTTTAAAGACGCTCAATTGGAGTCTTCTTGCTAAGTGGTGGTCAAGGTTTCTAAACGAAGAGGGTAGTCTCTGGAGAGATTGTATAAAGGCGTTTCATGGTGCCAGAGGGGGTATTTTTAGTGACGGTTGTAAGAAACCGGGTGTATGGGGAGCTATTACTAAGTGGGATATTCTCATCCGAAAAGTTGGGTTGAATGTTAACAATTTCTGGTCGGTTGATATCAATGGCATTCGTCGATGGACTCTATCCGAGGACGGGGTTTTCTCGGTTAAGACGTGTCGGGGAAAGATCGAGGAAGGGGTTTTACAATCTGATGGAAGGGTAACGAAGTGGAACAAATTAGTGCCCGGTAAAGTGAATATGCCTATCTGGCGTCTTTCAAAGTCTAGACTCCCCACTAGATATAATCTCTCATTAAGAGGTGTCCGTGTGAGCTCAGTTCTCTGTCCATGTTGCCTAAGCCAGCCAGAAACGGAAGGTCATCTCTTGTTTGGTTGTTCGACTACAAAGGTGATCGGTGCGTATGTAAAGAATTGGTGGTCGGGTTTTCCTTGTCAAGCTACCAATTTGGCGGAATTTTTTTCTGCAGCACAATTTCCTTTCAAAGGGAAGAAGGTTAAGGAGGTTTTGGAAGTAATTCTCATGGCGTTCATTTGGATGCTTTGGACGAATCAAAATGTGTTGGTCTTCAATAAACCCGTTAAAAACCCGTTGGTGATTTACAAGGAAATTGTGCTCTTTTTGTTTAATTGGATTAGACTTAGATCGAAGTCTTGTAATTCTCTTGATTGGAATGTTTGGTGTATCAGCCCTTTAACGACTCTTTTGTAAATGCTAGCATCTTGCTAACCTCGGTGGTTTCTTAATAAATCTGCTGTTTCTAAAAAAAAATCAAGGTATATGTAGCAAACCCCCCCCCCCTCTTCCACGTGGCCAAAAACAGACGATGTTGTCACATCTATGATTGATATATATATATATATATATATATTAAGAAAATACAAAACAATAATGGATTAGATATCGAACAACTAAAATATACCCACCATATATAAATTACATCAACCAGAATATGAACAACTAATGGTCATAAACTTTAAATTTACAATAATAAAAGATTTACAAAATAAAGATCAATATCTTTGGTTGTATCAATCGATCATTACTCGATATCACTTCCCTGACCCACCCCGAGTCTCGTCACCTATACCTGCAATCGCATAAAACAAAAAAAACGATTGAGCTATGGCTCAGTGGAACAGATTTTATAATATAAACCGGAACATATGAAAATGACAAAATAAAATGAGATATCAAAATATGAATCTTTAAACAACTTTTAGATCAACAAATTATGTCAACCAAAAATCTAATAACAAAGTGACATTTTAAAAGCCAACCTTTATATACCACAAACTTCCCAAAATCGACACTCAGAAAAAATACTACCAGAATATCCAACTCATATCACCCAAAGGGGTTACTACATGAACCACCCTTGTGTGTCGCAATCTGTAACAACCTAAAAAATCAAAACGTAATAACAATTAAAATTTTCTATAAATATAAAGCGTCTTAAACCGGAAACGTTTGCTAACTAATCACTATAATCAAGAACTAAAATATAGATAATAATCTAATCTCACGTAAACTAGATTACAGTCGGATGTTAGTATGTCTCCAAAAATACAACTTCTGCTCTAATGCTCTCGAAAAATCTCTACCATTGATGCTTCTAATAGCACCAATCAAGTCACTTAGGTGGTCTTAGATCCACCACGCAAGACCTGAAAAAACACATAATTCAAGAAACAAGTGTCAGACTTGATGCCTAGTGAGATTATACAAAAATAACGCATATAAGACCCGAGTTTTAAAAATTAATTCGTTATCTTACCCGAATTGTACCGTATTTGAAAAATGGTCAGTAATTGTTGAAGGGTTAAAATCACCAAACTCCTAAACTCTTAATAATTATATATATATATATATATATATATATATATATATATATATATATATATATATATATATATATA